TATACGAAGAGGAAAATCATTAATTATATGTTCAACACCTCTGGGGAAGTGAGTTCAGCACATCTACATGGCGGCCCAACATCGAAATTCGACTGGTATCGGGTTATACCGTCAGTACAAAGATATCCGATGAAGCCAACAGTTTGCCGAAAGCCGACCGGTTCAACGCCTTCAACAAACATGGTTACGAAGTTTCAACCGACACGGCAAGAAGTGGGCAGAGCATCCTTACCCATATATTCGTGTTCAAGAGCAGTAGTCCACAGCACCGACATCGTCATTCTCTAGCAAGGAGAGAACTTCATACATCAAGCGTATTGCTGATTTCAAACGTTGACCACAGTCAATAAAATAGCAACTCCGGACATACAAATAACTCATGTACAAAGCACTCGTCTTCAGAAGAACAAGAACCCCCATCCTCACCCTTGTTCAATATTGTAGCATCAATCATTAACCAATTACTATTTTGTTCTCCGTTCTATTTCGACAATGTTTTTCTTTTGTAAGCATAAAATCAATACGGAATATTTGGCGCATAATTAAAGTTAGCGAGCCTGTCTCGTATACTTACCGACGACGTAAGTGTCAGATGTTAACCTGCGAAATTCATCAGATCATGCGGTGTCGTCAAAGATATATCAACAATATAAACGTGATACCAGCAGGAAATATCAGGAGAAGGCCATGGCGTTAAGCTGGCCACCGTTCGCCAAGTTAAAACAAAGTCAATATCAGCTCCCTCATCTTCTCCTGAAGCAAATTCGTGGATTGGCATAAAGTTAAACGTTAATGCTAATTTATCACATCGTATTGTTATTTTACAGATCAAGTCAATAGTAAAGAGGAAGAAACGTCAGGGCGTGGTTATCAATTACGCCTGCGTAGCTGCCGTTTCTCTACTGGCCGCTGCAGGCATAGCGCCAGCGCTGCGTTTATAGAGGGCCCAGTTTAATATCCAGTCGGCGTTGACGTTAAAACATTCTGCGTATCGCACCATTGAAATAGCAGCACGTTACGCCATACACTCAAAATCATTTACGCTCGTTATGCCGTGCGTGGTGTTATCGCGACGTGTTTATATTGATCTATCTTCATTGAATGAAGCCATTACAGTCCGCTGCAATGCGAAAAGAGGGTAAACTTTTACCGGCAGCCGCATGAATAATCCTTTCGGGTCCCCACTGCGCATGAGATCGCGACAATTTGCATTACCAGAAAGTGAAAGGTTGCAGCAAACCACGTACCAATGTCAATAGAGTTCCAGACCTGGGCACCAATGGGAATACTTCGGCCCTTTGATTCAAGAAGATTCGCCATGTTTTCCTGTTTCCGAATCATATCGTCATTATGATCATTACGACAGAGCCAACGTCCGATCTGGTTTCGCAACAAAGAAAGATGACGCGTACTCAGACTATCATCACTGAATTGAAATACAATGATCAATAAACAACAGTTATTAGCCATTATACCATTGTTCCATTAACGACGCCCATCATGAAACAACTGAACTGTTCACACTAATATTTTTAGCCCTACCTCATTGATTGTTTTGCACCAATGGTTGATATTCCAGCGCATACGGCGCACGTACCAAAGAAGTCGAATAAACATTCATATTATTGTTCATTGCGAAAAGTCGCGAATGAACAGTTAACAGCCCGATCAGTACCAGCCAGATACCGTTATGGTGAAGAATATTAATTCGTCCTCGACAACATGCTCAAACGTCGCTGAAAAATACGGTACTTTCGACGTATCAATGTATGGTCGGTCGGTCGGAAGGGTGCTGAGCGGGGTATACATACCACCGGCAAGTACGCCAGATTGCCAGCGTCATAAAACAGTGCCGCCCCGGTTATACAGCATTAAATCGCAAAGATAACGTTACATGAGCGAAATATTTTCGCCACTATAAACACTTTCAATTGCCTGTCATAAGCCAGTAGCATGATTACCACTTTTATCGTTATTTTAAGACAATGAAAGATTTAAACATATTGGTAAAGATAAATTTAATAAGACAGTGATTTCGCATATTGAAGTTCAATGAGTGACGTAAAACCCCGTTACCTTCTCGCTGCCAACTTTATTATCTGTTGGTAGTTACAGCACTAACACTTGATATAATTACTGGTCATCTCCTCTGCAACATTATCCAGAGTGTTGGTAGTTACAGCAACATTATCCAGAGTGTTGGTAGTTACAGCAACATTATCCAGAGTGTTGGTAGTTACAGCAACATTATCCAGAGTGTTGGTAGTTACAGCAACATTATCCAGAGTGTTGGTAGTTACAGCAACATTATCCAGAGTGTTGGTAGTTACAGCAACATTATGCAGAGTGTTGGCTGTTTTACCAGCTACTGATGGTACAGTCTCTCCGTGATACTCAGATATTTATATGAAGCTCAGAGATGCCAATCATCACAATTTTGGCATAACAGTTACAATACTGAGCTTAAAATGTATGCTTTTCAGCCTCCCTCTAATTTGGATGTTTGAAAAAATTTACTTGTAAATATGAACATTTTTAATGTGATGTGAAGAATTCTACAAAGATTTTGCTGAGCAATGAGAGCCATACTGAATTCACAGTCTCAAAAATCCATTATGCAGTAATGCTCAGTGGTACAAGGTCTTTGATTGGTTGTTAGATAAAACACATTAAAGTCATGTTGTCAGTTGTTCTTTGTGGTGCTGACAAAGAACTAAACATACACTATATTACTTCAGAACTCCGAACACTGCTACTCTGTTCGAAAATTTGTAATTGGAGTCCCATGTATTGTATGCATGTGTGGAGCTTTTGGCCACATATTTCACAAAAATCATGAAAATACCTGTATTCATTGGTTACTGCTCAAATTTCATCCAATCTGTGTTATTGAAACATACCAGCATCGTAGATGTATCCTTCTTTTTAGATTTACAACAAATGAGTGATTGATAAAAAGGGAAATAAATGAACAGGATTTAAATAGTTAGTGTTGACTTTTTCATTCAAAAAGGATGACATAATAAGTTGTAGCATTGTGTAGAGGGGTATACGGGGTTTTATACATCCCTCGTTAGGTTTTATCCACCTCGCCCCCGTATACCCAAATCATAATGCTACAACAAATTTATCTTACCAAATGTTTAAATCTTTCATTATGTAAAAATAACATTAAAACAAACTGAAATTCAGTAATATATTTTACTAACCTGGTGAGGTGAGGTGAAATTGGGTTTAATGTCGTGCTTGAGAATATTTCGCTCATGACGACGTGTATGCGTTTGTATGTGTATGTGCGGCTGCTTGTACTAGCCCAGACTTAAGCTGGTTTTATAGTGCTAGCCCACTGAGATACCATGCCGCAGTGAAGCCTGAATACCCCACTCAGACACATTATACTGACTCCGAGCCGACCAGTCCTTGTTGTACCCATTAATGCCGAGCGCCAGACAGGGACCAACAAGTACCATATTTTAACGTATTTTGGTATGACACGGTCAGGATCAACCATCGCGGACCTTCCGCCTCGGGCGGACGCTCCTAACCACTACACCACGGAGGCGGATCTACTAACCTGGTACTGATGAGTCAATCTGAACAACTGGTTCACGGTTCACTGACTGCCATGGAGACATGCTCTTCCATGGGGCAGGGTATGAATGATTTATTCTCGATTTATACTGGCTGGGTGTACATCTGTGCACTGGGCATACATGGTAATTCGCTCAAGGACACATAAACCAATCAGAGATGGACATTCTTACATGAGGTAGGATAAATAGTAGTGTGACAGTTTACTGTTTTAAACCACAGTTATGAACTGTTTCATGAGCTGTTTTATGAAACAGCATCTGGTTACAATGGACAATGGGTGTAACAATAGCTGTTGTTTATTGATCATTGTATTTCAATTCCAGTATTGATGGAATACAGGTACATGATCATCTTTCTTTGTTTTGCAGGAAGCCAAGACACAGATCGGACCACTTGAGGTATCGCTTTGTCTGTAATAATAACAATGATCATAATGATACAAATATGATTCAGAATAAGGAAAAACATGGCAAATGCCCTGCTTGAATCAAAATTTGCAAGTTGTCTGATTCCCCATTGTTCTTGGTGCCCAAGGTTTGGGAACCTCCCAACATCTTGACTGACATTGAGAGATTACATGGTTTTGCTGCAAGGAACACAGCCTTTCTGACACTCTGGGTAATGCAGAAGTCTGCAATGTTGAGCAGCCTAAACATTCTCCTCGAAAGTTCTTAGTGGGTTGGATTGTTCAGCTGTTTCTTGGAGAAGTCCCGGGCGCCAGTTGTTCAGCAAAGTTTGTAAGCTTTGCTGCGCTTCACGCTTTACGCCTCGCTTTCCTGGTGCAACGGACTGCTGTGTGAGCTTCTCATTCAATATGGCGTCATTCAATATAAACACATCACCGATACTAGCCACACTTTTGGCACACGGCTGCAGAAGATATTCCATGCAATGATTTTGAATTGTATCGCGCACATTAAACACTTGTCCCTATTGGTCACAGAAGAGCAGACAAGTTTTCTCTGTTACCTTGCAGAATGACATGCCGTGGACGCCATTTTGAATGTCGCTTACGCAGGAAGCACCTCTCTCAGTCGCTGCAGACGGGCGCTTCGCGTGCATGCAGCGTTAGCTGTTCAGCCAATAGAAGCGCATGCTTCGCACTGCATCGACGGCTAAACAACTTCTGTTTATGGCCATGAGCTGATGATGAGTCTAACCACCACCCTGAACGTTCCGGGGGTCACTTTTGAACCCTCTTTGCTGCATATTATTATTTGAATCTGTAAATAATAATACAGTGTAATAAATTGCTATTGAACGCTTTGTTTAACTGTACTGACACTGGCTGACAGGAGCAGATTGACTGGGGAGAAGATGAAACTGTGGCACCAAAGGAAGCAGATTGAGCCAGCCGCAGGAGAAGATGAAACTGGTGGCTACCAAAGCCATCTCAAGCTTGACTAGAGCCAAGGCCGAGGTAAAGTTTAGCTAAACACCATAGCCATCTCCTCCTGACCGATGTTCCTAGCTTGAATCCTTTGTTTATGTTCCGGCTTGAATCCTTTGGTGATGTATCTATGAGTCTTGACACCACACCCATTCTGATAGATTTCACCAGAGTTGTAAACATCTGACACCTGCATCATTCTGCTTAAACTGTATCATTGGAGTACTGTAGAACCAAACTCACTCTTTGTAGGATCTGCCTTTAAAATTGTACGCTAAAATGTGCATATTGGTTTATGCCTAAAAAAATGAAAAAACATTGAAGTCAAATCGAAACAGGTCTGACAGGATAAAATAGCAGATAAGGTGGGATATGAGGGGTGGTGCTACAATAGTAGATAAGGTGAGATGGGGATTCTTGTTGCACTCTGGGAGGCAAGGTGCTACAACATGGTGAGCTGTATGTCAAGGTTGCTGTGTTTACAGATTGACTGTGTGAAGTCGGAGGCCAAACAAGTGAAGGACGTCAACGGTGAAATCAAGCTGTGAGTACACTTATATAGATGTATAAGGATTCTCTCCTTACTTCTAGAGGTGGTACAGTTATATCGGTGTATTGGATTCTCTCCTTAGTTCTACAAATATATAGGTGTGTAAGGATTCTCTCCTTACTTCTTACCCGTGAAAGTCCGGGTTAGAATGAACCTTCAGTAACCCATGTTTGTTGTAAGAGGCTAATTAACGGGTTTGGGTGGTCAGGCTCGCTGACTTGGTTGAAATATGTCATCGGTTCCCCGCTTGCCCAGATAGATGCTCATGCTGTTGATCACTGGATTGTCTGGTCCAGACTCGATTATTTACAGACCGCCATATAGCTGGAATATTGCTGAACTCACTCACTCACTCTCCTTACTTCTAGAGGTGTTAGTTATATAGGTGTAAAGGATTTTCTCCTTTCTTCTGACCGCCTCGCGGGTGTAGTGGTTAGAGCGTCCGCCTCCGCGGTGTAGTGGTTAGAGCGCTCGATCCCCATCCGCCATACCAAAAAGACGCAAAATATGGTACTTGTTGGTCCCTGCCTGGCTTTCGCATTAAAGGGTACAACAAGGACTGGTCGGCTCGAAGTCAGTATAATGTGTCTGAGTGGGGTATTCATGCTTCACTGCGGCATGGTATCTCAGTGGGCTAGCACTATAAAACCAGCTTAAGTCTGGGCTAGTACAAGCAGCCGCATACACATACACACGCATGCACGCCGTCATATGAGCTTAAATATTCTCAAGCATGACGTTAAACCCCATTTCACCTCACCTCACCTCTCCTTTCTTTTTAGAAGTGTTAGTTATAAGTGTGTATAAGGATTCTATCCTTACATCTGAGGTGTTAGTTATATAGGTGTATAAGTATTCTCTCCTTACATCTAGAGGTGTTGCCGCCATATAGCTGGAATATTGCTGAGTGCGGTGTAAATCTAAACTCACTCTCACTCTAGAGGTGTTAGTTATATAGGTGTATAAGGATTCCCTCCTTCTATTATGCCCCTCACCAATATTCCAGCTATATGGCGCAGTCTGTAAATAATTGAATCTGGACCAAACAATCCAGTGATCAGCATGAGCGTTGATCTGAGGATTTGTGATACAATGACATGTGTCAACCAAGTAAGAGAGCCTGACCATCCGATCCCATTAGTCACCTCTTACAACAAGCATGGGTTACTGAAGATCAGTTCTAACCAGAATCTTCATGGGTTGTATTGTATTGTATTGTATTGTATTGTATGTTACAAGGATTGGCAAATGGAAGAATGATATCATGGGCCTTGAATCAGGATGCAATTCTGTATCTCCGTACTGTTAGTACTTGTAACTGCTATGTGTACAGTACCTACAGACAGGAGAGAGTGAATACAGCGTGGGAGGCAGCGTGGTCAGAGAGACAAGTTTATTGTTTCTCCTGTGTCTTCAGGTACAACCAGTCTATGAAGGCAGACAGACTAGAAGAGCGTCAGGAACGGATGTCGACCATCACTACGAAGGAGACAAGTGTGAACCAGGAGCGTGAGGAGATCACGGAGAATGTCAACAAGCTCAGCAAGGACCTGGCCACTCAGCAGGTGAGTTCAGTACAGACGTCATACAGCTTCTGGCATCAGGTCAGTTAAGTACAAAGGTTGTATGACCTGACGCCAGGTGAACTCTGTACAGAAGTTGTATGACCCGACATCAGGCTTAACTTTGTACAGAAGTTGTATGACCTGACGCCAGATGAACTCTGTGCAGAAGTTGTATGACCCGACATCAGGCTAAACTGTACAGAAGTTGTATGACCTGACGTCAGATGACTCTGTACAGAAGTTGTATGACCTGACGTCAGATGAACTCTGTGCAGAAGTTGTATGACCTGACATCAGGCAAATTCTGTACAGAAGTTGTATGACCTGACGTCAGATGACTCTTTTGCAGAAGTTGTATGACCCGACATTAGGCGAACTCTGTACAGAAGTTGTATGACCTGACGTCAGATGAACTCTGTACAGAAGTTGTATGACCCGACATCAGGCGAAACTCTGTACAGAAGTTGTATGACCTGACGTCAGATGAACTCTGTGCAGAAGTTGTATGACCCGACATCAGGCTTAACTCTGTACAGAAGTTGTATGACCTGGCGTCAGATGAACTCTGTACAGAAGTTGTATGACCCGACATCAGGCGAGTTCTGTACAGAAGTTGTATGACCTGACGTCAGATGAACTCTGTGCAGAAGTTGTATGACCCGACATCAGGCTTAACTCTGTGCAGAAGTTGTATGACCTGACGCCAGGCTTAACTCTGTACAGAAGTTATACAGCTTCTCACATCAGAATGGAGTCAAGATTGATTTTACTGAATCCCTGGAGCCATTTAGGTAATGTTTGTCCTCGAGTTTAGCATACACCGCCTTCATTCCCTTTTCTCTCTCAGCAGAGTTGTTTCTGTTGTACTGCAAAACATGTCGTAGTTGCCCACAGCATGTCCTTGAGGTGATACTCTGGTGGTAGGTCTTAAGAGAGTCCAAGTGCAGACTTGGTGAAGAATGACCTAATAAACAAATAAGCTGCAGCAAGTGCAGGATAAATATTCCTGCCTCTTCTCAGATCCGAGAGCTGGAGTTGATGGACAACCTTCAGCTACGGCAGAAGCAGAAGGAGGTGGGCAGTCTGGAGCGTGAGATCAAGGCCCTGCAAGACCAGATGGGAGACTTTGACACTGCCAACCTGGAGAGAGAGAGAGGAAGTTGCTGCAGAAGGCAGATGAGATGCAGAAAGAGGTAGGGCACAAGTGATATATTTCTGTTCTTGAGCATAACACACACTTGTGTTTAACACATCCTTCCTTGGAGGTGAAGGTCAAGTAGTCTTAGATCATTCCAATTTTATCAGTTGTGTATTTTCTGTCATGAGCAATGTGCATGGAGCAATGGGGCTGAAAATTGCACATACCTAATCCCACCACTTGTCATGGTTCAGATCTGATTTTCAATATGGCTGCTATGGCAACTAATAATATGCCTTGAAATTCATACTAGTCTGCAAATCCAAGACTAAGCGACCGCTCATAATTTATGGCTAGGGAGGGTGATGATGATTTTACTGGGAGAAGCATGTACAATGTGACTGCCCCCCTAAAATTAATGTACAAAGTAAGTTACCCCACTGCATGTGATGTACAAAAATCAATTTACACCCCCTTCCTCCTTCCCATATTTTTTTTACTCATAACTTTAAAATATTTTAGGTACAAAATTGAGGACCTCCCTAGTACATGTGTACAAAAATTGATGACCCTCTACCTCCCTAGAACAAAATGGAGTAAACCCCCCTAAAAATCCTCATCACCCCCAAGCCATAAATTATGATGAAATCGGTCCCTAATTGCTGAACAATTTTGCAGAAAGTTAGAACTGAATTAAAGGCACTATTTCACACCACACTTCTCTTATAATAAATAATGTGTTTCCTTTAATGATACTAACTCTGAATTCTTGGGAAGCTACCATATAATTTATTCCCCCAAAAATGATTTAATTAAAAGTTTGAATGAATTAATGCAATGTTGCATTAAATCGACTCTTGTGCCCTCTCGCCCAAAGCATTATTTCAAGCTTAACTCCACGGTTTATGTCTCTTGGAGCACTCTTTACTTAATATCACATAAACCTGTAGAGACAGTACTCAGTCCTAGACAAAATGACGCTTCATGTCTGGTGCAAAAACATATGCACAGCTTGTGATTGAAATTAGTTTGGAAAACACCCGACAAGACCGAAAGTGCGAGCTTTTTTGGAGCAATTGTTTATGTTCCATATATGGCAAGTGTTTTCTGTTTGGAAGCTGTTCGCCCTCAAGTTTCAATTATTGATTTCAAACAGGTCATAAGGGATAACAGTCTTTAGCCGGATCAGTAGGGAAGCTAAAGTGGATATGCCCCAGTATACAATATTTTTCTTATCCTGACTCATGTTTATTTGCTTGTCTTCTTCTTCTGGCCGAACCTAGTGGAACACTTGTATCTCCCAATTGAAAGCCCCTTCAATAAAAATCACTCATTAGTACTCACCCCGAAGTTATCTCCCTTTCCGTAGAAGCTTGGCGGGAAGGAGGAAATACACCCAAGCCCATGTGCCTCACTCTTCTCCTCCTTAGCCAGTGAGGCTGGACGTGAGAGAGCACCTGTGTCTCCCAACACATATATCCTTTATTTAAATCTAGTTTAGTTCCTCTTATAACGCTAGTATAGAGGTAGTACTAGTATATTTATTCAATTTGCATTGATTATTAATTGTGTTTCTGCTGTTTATTCACGCTTTGGCATTGATTGTTCAGTAGGCTACATTAATGAAAATTTGCACAGATTGTAAACTACGTTACTCTGATACCGATCCTCATTTAAAATGCCCTAGTTGCATTACTCCATGTTCCTTTGATTCTCGTTGTAAATTGTGTAGCAATTTACCTATCTCTGCCTTTGACAAATATTTATGTTCCGTTTACAGATGGAAGGCAGATAAATCTAAGTAAAACAGATTTCAAACATGGCTAATAGATCGCGAAATTAATGTTTCATGTCAACTGTTGACTGAGGACTCGCACCGCTGGCTGGTGGCATGCCTGAGTTTCCCTCGGAGGATAAAGCGTGGGGCGCGAGTCCGCTATGTCCAAGAAGCGTACCTGCATCTCAAGAGCTGCGCCGCCCTCAGTCCAAGTCGAAACCAGCCATATCATCTCGTGACTCTGCATACTCCAAGATCTACACCGTCATCTAAAAGGAAGTCAACTAAATCTAATAAATTTGCCTCTGATATCTTACCAGTTACAGAATTAGCATTATATGATGATGATATGCCTATTATCATTCCAGAAGTTCGCTTCACAAGAAAGCGGCCCGCTTCTGGCGACTATCACCTCAGCGCGCAGACTTAACACACAACCGAGATGCCACGCTTATCACTCAATACATTTATCTGAGGGTCCGGGTCACCTCTGTGAGAGACATCCCTCTTCAACGCCAGAACGCCCCAGATGACTTGATCAACCACATTATGAGAATGATGGAAGACCGCTACGGCTTACAGAGGCCTCAGAGCCACGGGCCCAAGAGCCCACCCCATACTAAGTCATACAGGGCCCCAGAGCCCCGCCTTTGACTTCGCTAGTAGAGCCCTGAGAGCCCATAGACGCCTCCGCTGGCATGGGGCAACCCTGCCCGGAAGTGAGCTCTTTAATACAAAGGTATCCCAGGCCTCCCGGGAAGGAGCTAGAGTCTGACCCTTTGCAAGAGGCTTCTTTGCCGTAGAAGGAGTGCTTCGCCTAGCACGCACCTTGTCATGTACAAAGGGCGTTCGCAAAGCAAGCACTCATATGTCGGAGCGACACTGGACTCCAGACATTCGTGGCAAGACGCTGGCTAGAAATCGGTTTCTACAACGCCTTACAAGACGCTCGCAAGGTGAGCCCTCAACGCTCAAGCCTCCAGAGCTGCCGGGAGACGACAACGCTCGTGGCCTACAGTCTCCGCTGGCGATGTCGCCTCTCAAGATCTGCATACACTAGCCACTCACAGTCCGTTTCTCCTCCAGTCCTCACATAGATCTTCTTACAGATCGAGGTCTCCGACATACTCTACCATACTCGTCAGAGGAAGACGATGGTATTATTTTCTCAGAGGCTGAGATAAGGTATTGGATGGTAAATGAATTACAACTGGCCTCTCTCTCCAAGAAACGAGGATACAGCCCAAACTTACCTGATGAAAAGATGATGTACGTAGATCATATCACCATACCTCCTCTGTGGATCCTATCGCAGCCGCTCCTGCTAAACTGGATACAACTTTCTCCCAAATCTACTAAATCCCATCTTCCCTCACTTCTAATGATCTTCAATGCCAAGCAATTTTATGGACATAATATGGAGCCTTTTTTCAAGACTCAGGAGATTGATGAAAACTTCAAGATTGTCAGTGATTCCAAGTCCAGAAGTTATAGGATTGACCGATCGCTCTAAGATGGCCCAGTTAGATACCATTGCCAGAAGAATGTTCTTCGACTTAATAGATCTAGGACTATTAACAAAACTCTCATCACCAAGTTCAAGAACTCTACTGATGAGGAGGACAGGATGATCTATTCAGCTCTACTTATGCAGAAGAAAGACTCAACAATTCCTTTACAGACCATCTTTCAGCTCTTACTGAAACTACTACCATGGCAACGCCGGCAAGGATTACTAGCCTCATGCTCTTGGAATAAACAATTCACAGAGCCCCTGTACACAGCTCCATGGTCTTCACCTTGCATTGTTTGGTGGCAACATTAACAAGGTCTCCAAGGAAGGCCTAAAGATTCTAGAGAAGTACTCATGATTAGATCTATGGATACGCTTAGCCAACGCCTTCAAACATTCAGCACAGAGGTACTCGGTAAAGGAATTCTCAGGGCTACAGAGAGGATGGGATAAATAGCGCCGACTTAATAATCCCAAGGATTCTTTTAAGTCAGCCTCACAACAAGTTCAGAGGAGGATCAGCTAGCAGGCAGATCATCCATAGAGGTGGCCGTGGATTTAAAACGTCCATGAAAGTCAGGTTCGAACTACTGGAGTCTTCCACCCCCAGTCGCCCCAGTACAACCTTCTCAAGTGGGTGGACGCCTACAACTACACTGGGAAAACTGAGGAATACTTCAAGATCCGTATGTATCCAACATCCTTCAGTAACGGATATCGCTCTACAACTCAAGGCCAAGCCACCATTAACAGTCAAACCACTTAGGGTTCAACGCTCATCTGGCACAACTACCGCATGTTAAGAGAAACAGTTCAGTCTCTACTAAAACAAACAGGCCTTTTAGAAGTTCTCGATCAGCAAAACATCATACCAGGTTTCTACTCCCCAGTCTTCCTAGTGCCGAAAAAAGAATCTAAAGAGAAGTATCGAGTCTCATATACAAATATGAGCCGTGATTCAACAGAGAATTTCTATGCAAAACCACCACGTTTGCATGATACATTTACCGCTAACTTCGCTATCTAATCACGTCCACTAGATTACATAGTAAGTATAGATCTGCAGGAATTTATACCTACATCTTCGATTCATCCCAGTTCAAGGAAATATCTGAGATTTATGCTAGACGGCATACACTACCAATGGAAAGTACCTTCCGCCGAATCACTTCGCCCCATGGATATTCACAAAGAATAACCAAACCCTATGGTTCTCATATCTACATCGTCCAAGGTCTGCGGAGTGCATTTTACCTAGACGACGGCATACAGGTGGATCCACATCCACAGCGTCTCAGACTACAGCCGGAATCTACAATCAAGCTACCCTAACGCCAGTTAGGCTGGTTAGTAAGTAAATCTATTTCAAGTCGGACCTAGAGCCCACGCAAGATCTGCAGTTCGTAGTAAAATCCATTCCTTACAGCTCAGAACCATTATGATAGTCCCGGAGGCCAGATGGATCAAGATACAAATAACTGATCCCCAAGCCCTACTCTCGCCGTTACTACTACGACAGTGGCAGAGTCTACTGGGACTACTCACATGTCGGCTCAAGACTTGACTACTCCAGAGGCAGGCTCCAATTATGTCCATTACAAGTCCTCATCAATGCCCATCTCGAGGACTCTCTACCGTTCAGTCTAATGGTGATTGCGTCAACCACATCTACTCTGGTGGACCAAGAGATTGAATGTCTGGCGCAGGCTGCGCCCCTCCCTTACTAGGTCGGAATCGAAAGCACATCTTTACGTGGATGCGCCACTAAAGGTTAGAGGAGCCCACCTTCCGGCAGGACACAGCCAGGCCTATGGAGCATCTCAAGAGAGCTTATGTCACATAAATCTGCTAGAGATGCAAAGCAGCCATAAGCGCCATAGATCACTGGATAAACTCTATTACAGAACGCTCAGTTAGCGATTCATACGAGACAACTCCGCAGTGGCGTTCTATGTGTGAACAAACAAAGGGTCAAAGCAAGATCACTGAGATCTACTCCTTTCGATAAGCCTAAACTGTTCGATCTAGTTAGACAGTCTAAACATCACGATATCAAAGCCTGGCCACATTCCAGGAGCAAAGAATGTGTTAGCAGACGGCTCTCTCAAGCCACACCAAACTTATCGCCGACAGAATGGATGCTCCATACAGAAATATTCAATCAGATAATCATGGAAGCCAGGATCTCCTCTGATAGATCTATTTGCCAATCTCGATTCAACAATCAACTGACAACCTTTCAGATCGCTAGTGCCAGACCCAGTCTAGCATGTTCTGAATTTATCTAAGCATATGCGCAGGAGGGACTAAACGTGACGCTTCCCGCTGATCCTCATTAGTAAGTAGTCTTGCTAAAAATCAGTCAAACGAAGAGCCTCGGGATCTGATTTTTGTCTCCATCTACTGGCTAGCGAGGAACGTGGCTCTAGTGACCTTATCACTAAGAATCGGAAAACCAGTGCTTCAGCTCCCACTGTCGCCCAATCTACTGAAGTACATCCAGACACCAAACAGAGTGCAATAAAACACGCAGAAACATCTCGACTTCGCGTGTGGATTGTATCAAAGTGTTTGAATAAGAGAGGTTATTCCAACAGAGCGGCTGGTCATCACGCTTTGCACCATGGTTCCACTCAGCAATACGTAAT